GGAGCATTGGATTTGAGTAAAACTAAACAACCATTTGAAAGCCCTGGACAGCGGGAGAAGAATGCGGCGATCCACGAAGTGGACGAAAGCAGTGACGGCGCTGTTCTGAAAGACGCGGCGGAGGAAGCTTTGGTCGACGGTGACCGTCAAAGTCGACATCGGCTTCAGATAGGCCCACGCCGCCTGCTTCACCAGTCGATTTCGGATCAAGATTTCAGAGCCATAGTACAATTCCCGGTGAGCCGCCGGAGTCATGGGCCTCGGGGAGTTGACGACGGCGGCTGGCAAGAGGTCCCTTAAGGACGTATAAGGCGACGGATGGATTGAGGTAGGAACCATAGCCGCCGTCGCCGCCGCCGATGTTTTTACGCCGCAAAACATCCTCTAAACTAGCGGAGAAAGGGGGTGTTTTGATAAATATAAAATATAATTACTTGTTTAAAGATATACGTATTTATAGTGTGGTTTAGGGAGTTGGGATTTTGTTAATTGCTGGCTAGAATCAGACGTGGCAGTTCAGTTTTAAAACGTGGATTCAGTAATAAAAGCATAAAAGATGATCGTTTCTAAGGTGACAAGTAAAACAACATGTCACGTTAAGTGTGAGCAATCAAGTAATTTTAGAATAAGATTACAAAGTAATATTTTAGTTGAATTTTGAATGGTTTATTTAACGTTTTGGAAGTGTCTTTTGAGGTGTCTCATTAAATTCATAATTAAGATAATAAATATATTTGAACAAAAAATTGTGTTGTTACATTTGAGGAGACATCTAACACACATACACATATGGATGAGAGACGTACCTACCATGAGAACGGTGCTCGAAGGATTTTAGAAATGAGAATAAATTTCATTCATCCATAAAAAAACAATGGGAAAAGAAATGTTGAATTGGTCCAATGTATATGTTGGAGTAGCAAGTACCAGTAATTTAATGAGTGCCACTACATCCTTTCAAATGCTGTCGGAGTGTGGGGGCCCTTAAGGTTGGGATTCTCCACCTTTTGAAAGAATGAGTGCCAGTTCTCCGTCCCCCTCCCTATCTTTAATTGTCCTAAAGATCTCTCTTTGATCTACAAATAACGATGTGTTTGGTTTGCACATGAGAATCAGAATCAGAATTGGAATGGATCGGGTACAAAATACTTGGTAATGGTAATGAGTTTTAGTAAAAGTATTTTGCATGTTTGGGTAGTAGGGTGGAATGATAATGATTATCAATAAAGTTGTTTGGTTATGTATGATCTAATAATGGGAATAAAGATTTTAAAAATACAAAAATACAAAATCAAGATAATTGATTCTAATATAAAGACATCCAAAAGACTAATGTGAACAAAAAATAAAAACAAAAATCTAAAACACTAATCAAAAGGGGATGATAAGGAATAAGAGAATGAAAGAGGACGATACCCTTATTTTATTTGGGCATGAGTTTTTTAATTAAGGAGGTATTTGAAATCCATAGTAGTATTCTAAAAACCTATCAACCAAATAATACCAATCAATTTAATACCAATTACTTAAAGTTAAACCTGTCAACCAAACACACCCTAAAAGTATTCATCGTCTAAAAAATTGACCATTAGATTCTACTTCCCTTTATTTGAAGCTTCCTTCTCTCATAGTCTCATATCTTTATAAAGTCTCTTGCCAAAAACAACTGTAGATTTTTCATAATTTAATTCTTGACTAGAAACAAATTAAAAGCAAATTTATTAAGAATGCACTTCCGAAATTTTCTTGCTTTCTTGCGTAAAAAGGGCATCGGCCGCAATCGTTATACCATGCAACAGGGCGCACATAGCACTGTGCACCTTACGCCTCCCAAAACAACGTCGTTTTAAAAAATAATTCTATGTTTCAAATGCACATAAACTCATAACAGAATACACATAAACTCATAACAGAATATACATAAACTCATTATTGAATACACTTATTTTAACATAATACAAAATACACATAAACTCTTAACATAATACATATAAACTTTTAACTGAATACACATAAAGGGGTTGGTTAACATAATACGCATAAACTCTTAACTGAACACACATAAACTCATAATAAAATACACATAAAATTTTAACTGAATACACATAATATAATGCGGTTTGGTATGTTCGGATTGACGGAGTGACATCAGCATGAAACGCTCACGTTTTATACATGGGTACACATTACTATGTACATCGTGGTGCACGATATAAATTGCCGATTCTATTACAAATAGAAAGGGAAAAGGAGACGAGAGATTTCCTTGATTGATAACCCTGCTAGCTTGAAAATATCCATATATGTTAGTAACCATTTAAAGATACTTGGCGGCAGTTACTCATTGCCTTATACCTAGTGTGCTTTAGTTAAAAAAACAAAAATCAAAAAAAAAAAAAAACAAAAAAAAAAAAATTATTAGGGACTTCATTTAATGTTGTTAAAGCATTAAAATATAATTTTAAAAAATTGATATTATTAACTTCTATTCCTACCAAGACTATGTGGTCTAATGGTACCCGGGTTGGATTTTCATTTGGAAAATTGTGAGTTCGAACCTTAGTGGAGGCGTTATTGGCTCTTTGTGTTTCAGTAGGTTGAGAAAGTATATGAACAAATACTACATTCTAATAGAGCTAGTAGCATTCAAAAAAAAACTTCTATTCCTACATTATAATAGAGTCAGTAGCATAAAAAAAAAAAAAAACAAACAAACTTCAAACTTCTATTCAAAAACCTAAAAGTCTAACCCTAACTCAGCTTCAAAGTCATTGTGACTCCAACTTTAAGGGCATAAAGCATTAAAGTCAAAAGGTAAATTTGAAACTGTTAAATCTTAGTGACTCACGAATGTACTCCAGCGAAAGGTAAATTTGAAACTGTTAAATCTTAGTGAGTCACGAATGTACTCCAGCGATAGTGAGTTTCAACTTCCATGTAATTGAATAGTGGTTGACGGTGTGAGCAGGGACCCAGAAAATTTTCTCAGTGGGACGAATATTAAAATAAACGGGATAATTTAAAAAAGTAAAATACTTAAAAATTAGTCCTAAATATTGTTAAATATGAGCGAAAAATAAAACACATCAAAACTTTATAAAAATATGTATAACAAAATATGAGACATAATTAATTTTACCAAATAATTCTAATAGGAAACACATTATAAATTACACATCTCATTTTTAATATAAAAGTTTATATATATATATATATATATATATATATATATATATATATATATATATATATATATATATATATATATATATGTGCGTGTGTGTGTGTGTGTGTGTGTGCGTGTGTGCGTGTATGTTAATTTGGTTTTTGAAAGCCTACCATTAATTTAATAAGATTGTACATATGTGTTTGAAGACTGGAAGCCAGTACAGTTCAAATAGCCATAAAAACATACATACATACATACATACATACATGTGTGTGTTGAAGCCTACCATTAATAAGACTGTACGTATGTGTTGAAGACTTGAAGCCAATACTGTTCAAATAACCATAAAAACTCCACAAGTATTCAAACCCTTGTAACATTCCTTCGACTAACACACATGCTCTACCATTTAGGCTAACTCATTTTATGTTAACATTAGCTATTTGCTTTTACTTATACAAAACCTTGTACTATATATATATATATATATATATATATATATATATATATATATACAAGGGTTATACATGGGGTGGGGGTGGGGGTGGGGTGAGTGGAGGTAGTTGCCCCCACTGTAGGTCCGCCCCTGACTGTGAGCTACAAGTTGAGAATTATTATATGCAATTTTGCATATTATCTTAATTTGTATATTGATTTAGTTTCTAGCAAACTAAATAACGGACTGACTGACTTAGATTCTCGATTAAGCGGTCATTCAGATAGAACGACAGATAAAGTGTATAGCGGAAGACTAAGGCAGAAAGTAAATCAACACATATGTTTGTTTATCCAGCTCGATTGAGTGTGTATCTACATCTAGGGGACGATCACCTAGGTGTCCAATCCACTAACTCATAATCCAATGTACAAAGGTAGAGAAAAAAACAATCTCACCCAAGTGCCCCACACAAGGTCAGTACCCAGTCTACAAAGGTTTAGTGGATTGTTGAAGTCGGAGAGCCACGCATGCAGAAGTCCAATGAAATCCCTTCAATTGGAGAGCTTACTCTGATATAGCCCGCTTCAATGACGTAGTCCCACGTTGTTCCCACAACTGAGTGATCTTCGTGTCCTATCGTTTAAGCAACGTTGATACTTCTCAAGTTCTTCTTCATAATCACCAAGAACTTATTGTCTAGAGAAGAGGCATGACAACCAGAGATGTGTATTTTGTTTAGTATAGAGTGTTGCATCTTCAATCAATGCAACCCTAACTTCTGAGTGAGCAAGGATATATATACGTCTTTGATTTGGACACTCTCTCCAAATATATCTTTGATTGTAGATGGTAGGACTTTTTGTGAAGAAAGAAATCTTTAAGATTCGATCCATACCTTTCATGTTGATCCGCTGATATTCTTTCCAAAACTGTCATCTCATAACCGCGTCTCAGCCTTTTAGAAAATTTTCCTTTATCAGATCTTCAGTGGCTTGATCTAGCAGTGTGTCTGTTGATTATACTGATCAGTCAGTCTTCTTCAAGGACAAACATACACCAAGCCAAACCCTATCTTAATTTGCCATAATAATATTGCCAATTATATGTTGGGGTTTTTCTTACAGAAATGAAACACTAACAAACTTCCCCTTTGACTATTATTTGGCAAAACAACTCAACTATAGATGAAACATTTCAACTAAAGATAGAGAAGAGCATAGTAAAAAAAAAAAAGGCCAATACTGGCTATAGTTATAGCAAAAGGAAATATTGTTTGATTACAACCCATAAAACATTAGCACACAACCCGTGCTGGATAAAACATAGATTAGACCATTTCTTCACAAAAAGAAACACCACCACATGCCCAGATAGCGCCAGAAGGTACCATCATCACAAACACAAATTCTCCCGCTTAGTATAGTACTCCCCCTTTTTGCAAATGATAGACAAAGGACACGTTAGGCAGTAGAAGAACTCAGACTTCACAGCATCACCAGCAGCAGACTCAGACAAACTCATTCGGAGTAGAACAGTTGCAAGTTCAGTGCGAGCAGCATTGAGCTGATTCGAGATAATTAATATTGCTCACAGTCTCCAGCTCAGGCACTCACGCCTTCAATGGCAGGGACAACTGCACATCTTGAGCATAGGGGGTATCTTCAACAGTAGCATCAGCCTCAGAAGTATGCAGAGCATCAATAGGCGTAACATCCCTGATGTGTTTGCCAGTCAAAAGACGCGGATCCACAGTATATAGGAGAGAAGGAGCAATGACCTCACTTGGCATCGGAATCAAACCCAGAGAAGTTAGAACACCAAAGATAAGATTGGGATAAGGAAGCTTTATCTTCTGTTCCTTGGGATGTATCAATGTGAGTATATGATAAAAGATCCATTTCCCTAGATCAATGGTCATCTTGGTGCCAACTCGAAACAGAAGAGCAGCAAGATGCTTGCTAACTGTAGAAAAATGCGAAGATGGCAGCCAGTTGTGCAGAGCAATCCAGTGTAGAATAACAAACTTGAAGGTGAATTGAGAGCTGGACAAGGTATCATTATCACCAGTTGGCCATACAGAGGCAGTCCTCCAGTGAGGGTCTTAGCCACCAAATCCCAATTAGAAATTTCGTCTTCCTCAACTCTCTTCAACCCATAATACTGCTTGATGACATCTGGTCCAAACATATACCACTTGCCCAGGATGAAGATCTGCTTGTACCTCTCGCTAGGCAGAATGTCAATCTCATCATTTAGGTTGTAGTAGAATTTGTAAGACAGCAACTTCGAGTAATTACAAACAGATGTCACTGTCTGCAGCAGACCAACCTCACTCATAAGAGGCAATACATCACAAACTGAATTTAACTGATTCTCATCAACTGATCTCTGTATGATTAGCTCTCGTCTCACCATTGTGGACCATTTGTCTTGAGCAGCATTAGAGACAAACTGTGGCTTGTAGACACAAGTATCAGGACTTTCTGGAACGACAACAGGAACATTCTGCAAATCAGGAGTAACACTCCTTCCTCTTGACTTTGAAGTAACTTTCATCTTTCTGCTTGTTGTTGATGGGACAACCGTAGGAGCTTTACTTTTAACAAAAGACCTTAGAGTCTTAAAAACTAGTCTGACTGGCAGATCACTTTCAGCTTTCTCAGAATCAGCCGACCTTCTTTTCTTCCCAGGTTGAGTGGAGACTCTGTAAGCTCATCACCAGCATCCACATCAACTTTCTCTGGAACTCCTTTCTTTTTGGACATTCGCCTTTCTCTGACGGGTGAGCTCTTTGTAGGACTAGGAGATGCAGAATTGCTGGTCTCAGACCCATGAACAGTAGAGGATGCTAGAAGCTTGGTGACTTCTCTGATTTTGAAGGATGTGGAATTTGGGTGTGTTGTCTCGGCTACGGATAGAATCTCATTTGGATTAGAGGATGCAGCCTTTGAACCATAGACTTCAGGCAAAATTCTTTCATCATCACTGTCTGTTGGAATATAAGGATCATGCCTTGGATGTATTATTCTGTACGGCTCAGGTGCTGACGCAGAGGATAAACCCGCAAAGTGGCGAATGTGATCTAGGCTCTCAGCCAGACTGGAAGATGTATAGACAGGGACACTGTAACACCCCCGAAAAACTGCTATTTTAAAGCCTTAAACACGCAGATAACTAAACAAAACAACAAACACAGCGGGAGACTGAAAGATAGATAGATATATATAAACTGGAATACGGGGTGCTATGCCACGTCCACCAAAGGGATGAACGCACAGGCAACATCTGCAATGTTTAAATCTAAACCCATTCTCTCATTGTTCTACATCTAAGCTGGCTCACAGGCCACAAAACGTAAGGGAGAAGCTATACTAGCAAGCACTAGACCGCGCACTCGTCTAGACATCACCTGAAAGACACAATAAACATGGGACGACTCCTAGTCAGCGAATAATGCTGGTAACCCACCAATACATGTGAAATAACATACATAGATAAGATATAAGTTGTAAAGCCATTTTCGAAACGGAATACATATGTATATAAGTACAAAACCAAGAGTAATTGTCAACACAAGACTCACGCTCTCAACAAGAACACGGGAACACATCCCAAGACCACAAAGGATAACCACAACACAAAAGGATAAAGACAAGACCAACGGTAACACATGCCTAGGCAACACATGCTTTTGTGACTACACACGTCACAAGGAGAGAACTCACAACAACGGCTACACCAGCCCTCGTGACATCACCCATTACGAGTTGATATGCCTTCCTTATGCCCGGTTCCAACCTTATGGCTACCCCCAACCTTATATCTAGTTCCAACCTTTACCTCCAGGACCCCTGTACACCAAGTCCAACCTTATTCCCACGGGAACCGTCATTCCCCCTCCAATAGTCCCTCCAACAAAACCACCTATTTCATAGTACATGAGGGTACCGATCACACACGGCAACACATGCCACCCAAGAAACATGTGAACCTTACACAAAGGTCACAAACTCCATAATCACGTCACGGCCACCACGAGGACCGCTGCCGTACCTTGGTGATTAAGGCCCCATAAACCGAAATCGTGCAATCCAGGTACAGCCACACACGCATCACACCTCAACAAGAATCAATCAACGGATTACAACGAAGATATGAAACCATACTCAATCAAGGAATGGATCACAGTCCAACAACAACAACGATGAATAACAAAAGTTATCATCAACCAATCGGAAGGTACAAACAACACACACGCTAGCATTTAAACACCAAACTAGGATGCTTATCAAACGGGTAAACTAAACGTAGTTCCGAAGAACACACAAGACCCATCACGGTTCAACGAAACACAATGTTGAACACTTAGCACGATTCAAGACACCAAAACCTACATGGATTCCTACCATATAGTTCTAGACATACAAAACATCAAGAAGACGGTCAAAAAGTTCCACAAAAGAACATCGGGAAGTCAAAAGACCAAATACTGAGTCAAAAGGATCACGGGGAACAAATTCCCAACAAGCCACATATTGTACCCCGTGGGTGGACCCACGGGTACGCCCCTACCCGCGGTTCCGCCCGCGGGTACATAACCCACAAGCAAAATGTACCCCGCGGGTGGGCGATGGGTGGACCTCTTACTCGCCGTTCCGCCCGCGGGTACACACCTGTACCAAAATAATCCCTTCGGGGATTTTTCTCTCCAAACTCAAATTCAAGTCCAAAACATGCCAAATCTCACCAAGTACATCAAAATGACTTGAATCAAAGGAATGTCCAAGCAATGGCACACAAGAACCCTAAACACAAGCTCTAGATATGCATTTTCACAAGACAATGCATAAACACTCACATTTCATAGCAAAACACATGTAGAATCCAAGAAATATTCATATAGGTAAACGAAATAGATTTTGTAGAGCATGGGTTACCTATTGTAGACTAAAGACTTCACTTTACACCTCAACAAGATCCTCACAAAGCTCACCTTGCAAACCCACTTCAAGAAAAGACACCTAAGAGAACACTAAAAACACAAGATGAACTTAAATCTTACCCTCCTAGATGCCCAAATATATGAAAGGTTGAATTTTGGAAGTAACTCTTGAAGTTTTGGCAAGGCTTCAACTTAGCTTGGAAGGAAAGCTATCTTCCTTTTTAGAGAGAAGGTGGAGCTAGATTTTTAGAAAGTGTAAGGAAAGAGTGAAGGTGGTCTACTAGGTTAAGTTACAATACGAACACCAAGTGAAAGGTCAAGAATACCCTTACAAACTTAAAGAAGTGTAAGGGAACAAGGGAACTCCTTACAAAGCTTAAGGTACAACTTTGACTTTGGGATTGAGTAGTCAATTACTAGTCCCCGACTATTGAATTTTCAGAATTTTTGGAATTAATTCACCAATTGAAATAGGATTAATTACTCAATTAGTCCCTTAGTTGAATTTGGATTTCGGGGTGTCACAGACACCATCAACTGACTTATAAGGGCGAGGGCTTTCTAACTGTTCAGATAGAGTACAACAGACTCCTTTTGAAGATTGTCACTCGGACACTTCTCAACAGAGGACTTATGAGATATAGTAGATTCAGGGTTAGGAACCACAAGACGTTCAACATCAGAAGGTAAAACATCTACATTTGACTTATTAATATCATCAGACTTGGGAGCAATTTCCTCAAATTCACCCACTATAACAGGTTTTAAAGACTCAGAAGTTTCAATAGTGGACAACAGGGGTGGAACAACAGATACATTAGACTTAATAGGCAATAAGAGTTCTAGAGGTTTATCAGACTTCTCAGCAGGTAGACCAGACTCAACATCAGCAGATAACAACTCAGAAGGTTTATCAAGAGAAATTTCAATAGGAGTGTCAAAAGTGTTTGACATGTTTTGTAGAAACTCAGTTCGTCACTGAGCTTCCTCCTAGGCTGCTTGAAGATATAATGGATGTGCTTCTGCCCGTCGTCGAGAGATTTCTTCCCATTCCAGAGCCCTTTGTGCAAAGTATTTGAGGAATACCCCTACACGATTTCCGTCTTCTGGTTCGTCAATAGAGGCTGGACTTATGTCATCATCTGCTTCTGAAGACATCACCAAATGAGTGTTTGTATCCTCGTCTGACCAGTTTTCATAGAACTCAGGATAGTCAGAAATCATCGTGACAAGGATTTCATCTTGAAGAACACGATCCAACTTAAGCTTCTTCTTCATCGCTAGTTGGAGAAGAGTATTCACATACTCCCGAGCCCTTTCTGGTGAGTGATTCTTCCTTCCCAACTTGATCATCATGTTTCTCACTGCATCGGCCATATCTGTTAGATTTTTGGAAGAGAGACTGACGTAAAACCCTAGGCAGAGGTATTTAAGAGAAGGTTGACAGAGAACAGAGTTGTGTTGAGGATTTCTTTTTTCCACTAAGAGTGATCATATGAGAGATATAATCCCAATGGTGAGGAACGATAATCAATGCGGCTGACAGGAAGCATGCAGCTATGAAGTGATTGATGCAACGGAAGATTTGAAATTTGAAAAAGGGCAATTTAATTTGGGTAAGCTAGGTTAAGATATTTACTTAACAAAACAGAAGTGGGTTAATTTAGGAAGCCAAATATTAGAATTTTGACTCGAGGCTAAGAAAACCAAAACCCTTCTTCTGATTTACCGTTCTGCCTTAACAATTGATCCTGGAGATCCCCAGAGTAGATCTGAGAATCTCAAAACGATTTGCATCTAGAAGCTTAATCAGTATGTCTACCAGTTGCTTATCTGTCTGAATATATTCCAACTCTATCTCTTTTGCTTCGACCAAATCTCTGATATAGTGATGCCTTATATCAATATGTTTGGTCCTAAAGTGTTGAACTAGATTCTTTGAAATGTTTATTGCACTTATATTGTCACAGTAAAGTGGCATAGAGTTTTGAGAGAGACCATAATCCAGCAGCATCTGCTTCATCCAGACAAGTTGAGTGCAACATCCTCTAATTTCTATGTATTTTGCCTCAGCTGTACTCAGGGAAATTGAATTCTGTTTCTTACTTAGCCATGATACTAAGTTCTTCCCAACAAAGAAGCATCCACCTGATGTGCTTTTTTCTGTCGTCAATATTTCCTGCCCAATCGGCATCACAATATGCAATCAGACTCAGTTCACTGTCCTTGGAATACCATATTCCATATTGAAATGTACCATTGATGTACATCAAAATCCGTTTAGCAGCTATCAAGTGTGAATCTTTGGGAGCAGATTGATATCTAGCACACATGCCAATACTGAACATTATGTCTGGACGACTGGCAGTTAGATAGAGCAAACTTCCAATCAGACTTCGATAGACTGTGGAATCTACTGATGGACCTGCATCATCTTTAGACAACTTTGTAGAGGTCGAAATGGGAGTCCTAGGTTTCTTACATGATTCCAGATCAAACTTCTTGACCAAGTTTTTAGCATACTTTTATTGAGAGATAAAGTATCCTTCGGAGCTTTGTTTAACTTGAAGCCCTAGGAAATAAGTTAGTTGACCAACCATGGACATTTCAAAGT